GGGGGGGGGGTGGTGGTGTTGAAAATGGCTTGTGTTTCGTATGAAGGGAGCTGTTTATTTTCCTTTGGCTGAGGCGATGCCTGGAAGGTCAGGGCCTCGCTCGTGTGTCAGTCACAGGTAATTAGGGTTAACGGCTCAGTGTGCCTTTATGCCGGGTGTGTGAGGGTTTCTGTTCTCTGGCCTGGGCGCTTCCTGTTTCCAGGCAGCTGGAAAAGTCCAGTGCTCTGAAAAAGGTCTTTATTCCAGCCAGAGCTTATGTCCCTTTCTGCTCCTACCAGGTAGACTGAAGGTCTCCTTTTCCCCACCTCTGCACGGCCCCAGGTGGAAACAGGCTGTTGTTTCTTTCCCGGGGTGGAGAGGAGCCTGTGGGTATCTCACCATTAGGGTTTCCGGAGGCTCCGTGAGGTTGCAAGCCCTGCTTTCTAAGACAGGCCAGACTTGCATTTACCTGGTCCAGCTGGGTGGAAGGGTGGCCCGTGTCCTCCCAGTACCTGTCTCCCTGCAGTGCTCGCACACCAGAAAATCATGCATGTCAGAGTGGGGAGGAGGATAAAACGGTTGCACTTTGGGAGACGGCTGGAGAAGAGCAGTGGAGGGGTAGCAAGCTGTCCTTCAGGCTGAGCTTGTGGAATTTGGATCTCTGGAGTCAGCTTTGATTAGCACCTTGAGTATCTGTCCCTCCCTGCCCTGACTGTAGGATCTGTAGGGGAGAAAGAGGGCAGCAACCCTCTTGCATGTGCTGTCCGAGTTACACGCTCGTGCTGGCTTGGGTAGCAGTTGACCTGCTTGGTCAGGTGGAGACCAAGGATCAAGGTCTTCCCAGGTGAAGGAGAGCAGAGAATTGAGTCCGTTGAGGTCTCCATGGTGTGAGCCCTGCCCTGAGAGCAGCCAGACAAGGTTCTGGGCTAACAGGGATTTGCACAAACAGGAATTTGTTAAACAGGGATTGCACAAAACACTGTGGCCCTGGGGTGGTAGAAATTAGTTTCTGGGGATCTCCTGAGACCTGATCTAGGGCAGCTGATTTTTGGCTGGCTCACCACACCAGGGTATTGGTTTGACTAGTGGTTTGGGGCCCAGCTTGGGAGATGGGGATGCGGCTGGCTGGGCTGGCGGAGGCAGCGATGTCTCAGGCAGAAGGGATGCAGACAAAAGCAGGCCACTTCAGCTCTGGCAGCAGTGTGCTCCACAGAACACGGTGCAGGATAGCCCCTCGCTGGCCCAGCTCCCGCAGGGATGGCTGCGCAGAGCGCGCCGCAGAGCCCCTGCGTGATCACTCTTGCTTTGCCGCTCGCAGGAGCGACGTCCCCTGCAGAGCTGCCGGTCGCTCTGGCACTGAAGAGCTGGAAAACCGTCTTGTCCCTCCTGCTTTCTGCAGGAGCCCTGCCTCATTCTCCAAGACTCTCCTTTCATCTGTGGGAGTGTGGAGAGCACTCGCGCTCGGCTTCTCTTCAGCCTCTGGTGGGGTGGCAGCTTTTCCCAGCTGCGTGCTGGTGGGTGCGCTGAGCCCCAGCCTCCCTGCTCGCGCCGGGCTGTGTGCGGATGGAGTGGAGAGTGGCTGGGTTCATGTGGGGATTCAGAGCTATTTATTCTGCTCAGATAGCTGTCTCTGAACATCTGCACCAGATGTGGCAGGCACAAAGGCATCTCTCACACAACCGGGAGTCTGTTCTAGGGGCTGGAGGGTGCTGGAAGGTGTTCTGAATAATTCCAGCCCCGACAGTGCCTAGAACCTCCTTCCCATCCTCCTGCCTTGGCCAGAGCATGTTTCCTTGTGAAGCCGGGGAGCGTGTGTGGCACAGGAGCGGCTGGGCACAGCTCTCAAGGCCTTCGGCGTGGGGTCCTGGTTCCCACCTAGGGGTTTTTGAGCGGACCGATAGCGAAAGGGGGGAGGGCACGAGAGCTGCTGGCTCCTGCATCTGGTTCCTATCAGTGATGATCCCGCACGGGGGACAGACGGTCGTTAGCGCGGCGTGTATACTCAGCGCCGTCTCGCCCGTACAAAGAGGTACATTATGCTGCCTGGCAGAAGGCATGGGGCTGTGGTTTCTTACATAAGGAGGGTGTTTTGTTTGGACTGCAGGGTTGCCTCAGCACTGCCACTTCACACCGTCCGTGGCTCCCTGTATCCACTGCTGTTGCAAGCCTTGCAGGCGGTCAGAGGGGAGCTGGCGGGGGCCAACACGTCGCACGCTTCATGCTTGCAGCAGCGGTGCACGTGGGTGAGAGCTCCCACCATCTAGCGCTTGCTAAACCTCTGGTCTTCCTTGCTGGTGGTGATGTGGCAGCAGGCGCGGGGGAGGAACACCAGCTGGATGTGGGCTCCCCAGAGGAAGAGTCCGTCGTGTGTCTCCCTGAGATGGGATGCAGGGAAGCTCGAAAAGGCTGAAGCCTGTGAAGAGCTGGGCACGGTGGTCTGAGCAAGGATGGGTTGCCCCCAGTGCCCCTGTTTCTGAGGTCATTGCTGTGTGTCAGCAATAGAGTTCATCACAGCTTGCTGTTTAACGGTGGTGATTCACTGTTGGTAGGGCAAGGCAGCCCTCAGCAAATCTACATTTCAGATCACAAGGGAGCTGCTGACCTGAGGAGCACGTGAACTTGTCACCTGTTTGTACAGGGTGTGAGATGGGGACAGTGGACATAAATCAGCTGCCACCAGCAGCTCTCCCCCATCCTGTGTGGCTCTGCAGTCGCGAGGGCACCCAGAGGAGCATCTGAGGGATCCAGAAACCCTCTGCCCTCGAGGAGTCCTCATTGTGGGATTTCTGGTCTCCACAGCCACAGAAATGGTACCTGGGGGCTCGAGAGCCTCTTCTCATAAAGGACTTCCAAGTCCTCAGAGCCATATTGGTCAGAGAACCTGTTGTTAATGAGTCTGGAGGACCTGTCCCCTCCAGTAACGAATGCTGGCACCACTGGTTCTGTGTGCACAAGGCCAAGGTCCTGTTCATCTCTGAAGCACCGCATGTCAGCGCGGACAGAACGGGTGGGACATCTGGCTGGGGTGAGCGGTGCTCTGGTCTCTAGATCCGCCCAGAGGGGGCTGTTATGTACAGCTGCCCTCAGAAGATGATGCTTAAAAGGGTTTTCACAGGATGCCGACTCCTGCAAAGTCTCATGAGCGGAGTTGTACCTTGGAGTTTTGTTTGTGAATAGCGTTCCTCCACCTGAGCCCTGCGCCGGATCCGTATCTGGTTGCTGGTGGCGATCTGAAGTGCCTGCAATGGGCAGCTCTCCAGCCAGCGGCACTTCCACAGCCCTGCCTTCGCCCTGAAGATGCCCAGGGACCTTTTGCCATCCATCTCATGGAGTGGACATGCTTGTGTCTTCAAGAAATTCCAGCTATGCTGATTTTCCCTTAAGAGATTTCAATCTTTTAGCTGTCCTGGTGCTTTTATGCTCGTGAAGCACCGAGTTCATCGCGAGTGAACAGGAAACACCGGGCGTTTCCCCTCTGACGACGCCCAGCGCTGCCCAGGAAAAGGGCTGACCGCCGGGCGGAGAGGCGAGGCCTCCCTGATCCCAGAGCAGCACCGGGCAGTGCCGGCTCTGCTCTCATGTGGTCGCTGCTGTGGGTGGCGTTGCGCTTGGCTGTCCCTCGCTGTCAAAGGTGTACAGGCATGGTAGGTCCTGCTTTGGGCTCTTTCCATCAGAGATAACCACTGGTGTCCCTAGATCTGTTCTAGGGACGAGAAAGATCCAGCGCTGCGGACTGGTAGCTTACTTCTGCAGGTGTCACCGGTCTCTGCATATATGCATTGAGTTGACAGGGCTTTTCAGAAGCCCGTAGGAGCGAAGGCAACGGCTCTGATTTGAGTTTAGACAATCTCTCTGCTAATCCTCAGCCTGGCATTCACGCTCCCCTCCTGCTTTCGGGGAACTGACTCTTATCTCAGAGGGCAAGATTGCCTTCTGCCCAGGGCAGAGGTTTTTCAGGGTGCCCACGTGGCTGCTGGACCGCTGGGGTCCCCAGCTGATGGCACGCGGCCAGGGCTCGGAAACGTGGCTGAAGCTCTCCCCGTTTCTGCCTTCCCACCTCTTTCGAGAGCGGTCTCGAGGCTGTGATGCACGCGACCTGTGGTCGCAGCACATCTGTGGTTGTGGCCGAGGTCACCGTTTGGTGGCTTCATCATCCCCCGGGGAGGTTTGAGGATGAGCAGGGGCGGTGTGAGCCCGGGCGATGGGGCATTGGCACTCGGTGCGTCTCCTCCTTGAGGGCTTCTTGCTTTCTGCAAGCCCAGATTTGTTCCCTTGCTGTCACAACAGAAGCTGGTATATTAATTTCCTAGGGCTTTTTGTGGTGACTAATTGAGACTGAAGATTGAATCGGGAGGGAGACCTGTGGGAGCAGAAGTGTGACAGGAGAACACTTCACCTGTCAGCAGCTGCTGGCTCGCCTCTCTCTGTTGCAGACTAAAAGCTGACAGGAAAGCACGGTGCTCCTCAGAGCTTCTACCTTTGCCAGGGCATAAACTTTCATGAATGAATTAAGGCAAAGAATGCTTTTCAGTGTAGCCGTGTAAAGCCAGGCCTCCCTGTCGCACCGGCTCCCCTTAGGGACCACCTCCGAAGCGAGTGCCTTGTGGCCGCGCCATGTTTGCAGGCGGTGTCTGTCAGCAGCGAGCAGGAGGCTGCCAAGGAAAAAATTCAGCCCCAGCCCAAACTCAAAGGCTCCCCTTTAAAGATGTATTAAGAGAAACTAAACAAAAACTACATCAAAAACTCACAGGACATAAAACTGACCCTGTGTGAAATCTTATGCTGACCCTCCTACTTTCTGGAGGAAATTAGGAATTTATGCTCCAAATTATGCCTGTTTTCAGAAAGCAGACTGCTGCAGCATGTCTCTGATTGTCTTGATCTAGCAAGCCAAGCAACTGCCGTGTAGACCTGCTGTCATTCTTTATTTTAAATAAAGGTTGGCGCGCTGTAGCTAAGCAATGCGAGGAGGTAGGCTTGCTAATCCACCAGATGCAGCTCTCTGGACATTCTTGGTAATTAGGTGATTATTAATTATGCACAGCTCACTGATCTGTGGGGGAGGCTTGGCTGCACAGCTACGGTCCAAGTCTGTGGGCCCACATGCAAACAGTTTTCCTAGGGAGGCTGTTAGGGCGTGATTTAAAGTAGACGAAGGTGCCTGCAAAGTCTCTTGGTCCTACGCGTAGCAAGGCTCCGGCTCTCGCTGCCCTCCAGGCGCGGGGGCTGAGGCTGCTGGATCCACGATGCTCCTTCCAGCTGAACCCCTTCGCTTCACCTCTGTGTTTGAGGAGAGGACAGGCGCCGTCTCATCTGCCTCGGGCTTCCTCCACGTCCTCTCCTGAGGGGGGCCGCTCGCCCCGGCCGGCCCCGGCGTGGCGTGCGGTGCGGCAGGCGCCCG